CACCTAAAACACCGTGATCGCTTTAAAATCCACGGTTACAATATTCTTAGAACTGATCGGGCTCACAATAGAGGCGGTGGTACTGCCATTCTTATTAAATCACACATTATTTTATAAATATAATATGCAAACGAACAGTAATGTAGAAATTACTTCGGCTATTATTTATAGCGGATTGAACGAAGAATTCCTCTTCGTTTCACTCTATAATCCTCCCTCGAACCTTATTACAGACAGAGACTTAGATATTATTACATCAGCGCATTTTCCCACAATTATTGCGGGCGATTTTAATGCCAAGCACCCAGTGAAGTACTTGATATTGTGCTTCTTAAAAATATTCCGAACTTGCTTTTACTCGAAGTGCATGAAGAACTCTCATCAGATCACTTCCCTGTGAATTTTGATTTTTATGGTTTTTATCCTCCCCTCCCAAAATATGTTACAAGGATTGACTGGAATACTTATACTAATTCCCTTACTGAACTTACAGTTAGAACTGAATTTAATCACTGCGCGGATATTGAAGAAGTTTATTCCCTTACGAGTAAAATGCAAAATGCTATCAGAAATGCCTCCTTCAGATGTAAATTCAAGAACTTCCTCACTCTCCCGGAGTATATTCTTAGCATCATTAAGGCTCGAAATCGAACTAGAAAACTATGGAAACTCGCCAAAAATCCTAGAATGAAAAGCAATCTGAATTATCTAAATATAAAAATTAAAAGTGAAATCTCAGACTATGGATCTCAGAAATGGGGATATTTATTAGAAAACATGGAATTAGAACCTAACTCTGTATGGAAAACTGCTAAATCTTTAAGAATTATTAAACAGACCAACCAAATTCATCCCATTGATCACATGGGTCGTGTGTATCAATTCGAAGCCGAAATTGCCAACCTCTTAGCTGATGAACTTGAAAATAATTTCAAAAAGCATGATACTCTCAACGATGAACACGGAAGAAGCATTCAATTCTCTATTGATAGTATTAACAGCAATAGCTCTACAAATTTTATTGAATTAACTACTATTAGTGAAGTAAGAAACCAGATCAAACTATTTAAAGTTAAAATAAGCAAAAGGATTTGATCAAATTAATAATGAAGCCCTTAAAGCACTGCCTAGAAACTGCAGTATCATCTTTGTAAACATCTTTAATTGCATGTATTAAACTCTTTTACTTCCCACAGCAGTGGAAACACTCTGTTATTATCAGTATTCTCAAGCCGGAAAAAAATCCGAAGCTAGCATCCAGTTATCGCCCCATCAGCCTGCTCCCTGCCATGGGAAAACTGTTCGAAAAAGTCCTATGCAATAGACTAACAGATCATTTTTTGGAACTTTGCGGTTATCCTGGCTTTCAGCAGGAAATTAAAGTCCTTAACAGATCATTTAGAAAGTGTTCAGATATTTGTAATCGCATTCTTACTGGTTAAAAGGAAGTGTAGCTTTCTGTCACGTCCGATACGTTCATTAGCTTTCAGCCAGGTCCGAGTTATTCTGAAACTTAATCTCATTCTGTATGGATTGGTTTGTTAATGATCTGTAAAGTATTATATATATGAGTTTTTCCTCGCTCTTGATTGCCGTTACTCTGCTAACTGCTCGCATATTTCTGCACTTGTTGGCACATACAGAAGGTTTGTTCCCGTTGAACCTTGTGTTCTGGGGACTGTAAAAGGTCCTTGCGTGCCCTATTTCTTGCCTAGCTCTAATTTTCTTGACTTGGACTTGATCTGGAAAATGTCAATTATTCAGCAAATTGTGGATCGCTTTCATGCACTGACTTCCAGGAATGATAGCCTGACCCCCTATGAGCAAGTTGAATTGGCATTCCTGAACAGATTTATGGATATAATAAATAACACGGAAAGAGATTTGGCCTCTCAATCTGAGTCTAACCATTCTAACGATGTGGATTCAAGCATGGAATGGATTACCCCCAGCCACAGTGTTAAACGGCCGCTCAGCCCTGAAAAGTCAGCCGAATTGGATTTGAAAAACAAATACCATGTGCTAACTCAGCTTCCTCCCGAAAAAGCTCATACCCATGGTACTGAACGGAGTACTCACTCAACTACCCAAGGCGATGTTGCAGTAAAACGCAGGATGAAACCGAGGGCTGCAAAAGCTGATGATTCATCCAAAAAGCCGAATGAAATCTCCTCCACAAACCCATCTAAAGTAGCGACCAGTAGCCACGCTAAAGTGGCGCCATCTAGTGAATCCTCCGAGAAGCCGGCTGCAAGTACGTCCCTGACGGAAAGCATGGTGCGGCCTATCGGAAATACAGATGAGGTCACGTGCCCGGCTGGGCAAATAAGTGATGCTCATGTATCTGAAGAATTTAAGTTTCCGAAAAGAAGTTCGAAGCTTCCGCCGATTGTCATTAAGGATTCAAACTGGAAATGGAAGGATATTACTGATCTATTGGATAACTCCGGCTACAGTGAATTTAATGCAAAGATGAAAGCCGTAGATGAATTTGAAATCAAAGTCAATTCCAGTGAGACTTATCGTAACATCACGGACCTCCTTGACGACAAAAAGATTAAATTTCATTCATATCAGCTTGCTGAAGACAAAAACATCAAAGTCGTCATTCGTAGCCTTCCGATTGACACCCCAGTTACGGATATCCAAGATGCTCTCATTGCAGAAGGATACGCTGTTAAAAAGGTTGTACAAATGTCTCGCCGAAAAGGTCCTGAAATTGCCCCCATGCCTCTATTTCCTGATCTTGCTAGAAAGGAATGAGAAAACCAAGGACATTTTTAATAATCTAAAGTATCTTATGAGGCTAAAGATAACAGTTGAAAGATACAGAGGTAGACGCGGTATCACGCAGTGCTTCCGATGCCAAGACTTTTACCACGCTCAAAGTCAATGCCGTCACGCACCACGGTGTGTCAAATGTGGTCAGGGGCATGAGTCTCGTGACTGCACCAAGCCCAAGGATGTGCCACCAAAGTGCTGTCATTGCGGACTTCCTCATACTGCCAGTTTTAAAGGTTGTTCGTTCTACCCCCAAGCCTCGCTCATCCTTTGTGCAAAAAGGCATATCATATGCAGATAGAGTAGTCAACAATAGTAATGCTACTCCCCCACAGATGGCGCCACAAGCAACCTTCCCACAACTCAGTGAGCTTCAAGCAAAGCTCGACGAAGCTAATGCGGTAATTCAAAAGCTCACAACAGCCATCTCTATGTTTGCTGATGTAGCGAAGGCACTTCCTACCGCCTCTATGATAGAGGACACAGTCAGGCCAGCTTCCCCCAACCATGGATAATCCCACCTCCCGGCAAAGTTCTCCTGTTAAGATCCTGCTCTGGAACGCGCAGAACGTTACCTCCAAGATACCGGAACTTCATGAATTTATCCAGCAAAATGACGTAGACATCTGCTTAATTACAGAAACCCATGCTAACCCTTCGCACTCCTTAAGGATAGCCAATTATTTCAGCTACCGTAGTGACAGACTCCACCACCGTGGTGGCGGAGTGCTCATTTATGTTAAAAGGACATTTGATTCATATCTGAAAAGTGCAGAAAATTGTGATGGAATGGAAAGTGTTAAAGTGATGGTGAATCTACCCAACATTGGGGATGTCACTTTCTGTGCGGTGTATAACCGCCCTGGGAACAAGCTCAGTGCTGAAATTCTGGATAGACTTATTAACTCAGACTCCCCCACCTTTCTAGGTGGCGATTTAAACGCCAAGCATCTCGACTGGGGATGCCGCAACTCGAATTATAATGGACGCATAGTGCATGATTTTGTGTGTAATTACCCTGTCTTTCTGCATGTGCCGGATGAGCCTACCTATAGGCCAAATATACTCAACCATCGGCCTGACATTCTGGATATTTTTATTACGACGTTCAATATTCCTATGGCTATTACGGTAACATGTGACATGTCTTCTGATCATGTACCTGTGCTTGCTTACCTTGGAGTGGAAAATGCTAAGAACCTACCGCCAATTAAGCATACTGATTGGAATCTTTATCATAATACTTTGATGACCACTGATTTTAATTGTGACTCGTTACAAAGCACTTCGGATATTGAACGTGCTATAACAGACTTTACTTCGTACCTGCATTCTGCTAAGTCCCTAGCTACGACTGAGGTTGACCGTGTCAGACATGAGCACACGCTTCCTGCCAATATTCGCGAAATAATCTGCTTTCGAAATCATCTCCGAAAGGAATTTAATCTCACCTGGGATCCTGCTATCAAAACTCAAATTAACAGGCTTAATAGGAAAATCAAGCAAAAGATTCAGGACCATCGTTCTAGCTGGCAGGATAAGATGGAAAAGATCAACGACGAACCTGGCGTCCATCATACAAGGACACTAAAACGCCCCTGCTCTGCCAGAAAACCGCTTAAATGCGATAACGGATTTGCTTACTCCGATCAAGACAAAGCGGAACTTTTTGCGGAACACCTTTCTAAACAGTTCATTCCAAATTCCTTCCCCTCAGATCATAGTTCGGACATTCAAGTTCATTACCTTAACGATCAATGGCTGCACTCCCCTTCTACGGAACCTTCTATCAAACTAACCACGCCGCACGAAGTGCAGAACATTATTAAGGGACTTAAATTAAAGAAAGCTCCAGGAAAGGACAAGATCACGAACCAGATGCTGAAAAACATGCCTTTTAAGACCGTATGCAAATTAACAGGCATTCTCAATGCATGTTTGTATCAAAATTATTTCCCGCTTTTCTGGAAGCAAGCAAGCATCCTGATGATTCCTAAGCCAGGGAAAAACACAGGATTACCCGGCAAACTTTAGACCCATCAGCCTGCTGTCCTCCATAAGCAAGATCCTGGAACGTATTATTTATCTCAGAATGCAAGAAAACTTGGACTTTCTCGTTGATCACCAGCACGGTTTCCGGAAAGGACTTTCGACCACAACGCAGTTAGTCAGGCTCACGGAGTTCATCGGCGCGGCTATGCACAACAGAATGAGTGTTGCTATCCTGATGCTAGACGTGGCAAAGGCTTTTGACCGCGTCTGGCATCCAGGGCTAATCTATAAGCTAATTCATCTCGGTTTCCCCCAGAAATCTGATACTCATTATCAAGTCCTTCCTTGAAAATAGAACTTGCACACCGTTGGAGTTGGAAATGCAACTTCATGTGTCAAAAATATTTACGCAGGTATTCCTCAAGGGTCAATTTTAGGCCCGCTTTTTTACATCATCTATACCAACGATTTCCCTTGCTTTTCCGAGGATACAAATGTTCTCGCAGCCAGCTACGCTGATGATACAGCGATAGCCACCAAGTCTCTAAACCCAGAGTATGCCTTGTCAAGAATTCAGGCCAAAATCCCTGCTATTGAGGGGTGGTGCAGTCGCTGGAAAACGTGCATTCAGCCAGAAAAGTCCAAGATTCTACTCATTCGAAATCGCAGACAGAGGAAACGGGTCAGAACTGAGGTTAAACTTTTTGGCAAAATCATCCCTACAGTTGATAAAGCTAATTACCTGGGAGTTACCCTTAACAAGAACTACAATTGGAAGGATCATATGCTTAGAGTAAGCGGAAAAGCACACGGGATCATTTTCAGGCTTTTCCTCTCCTAAAGAATGAAAACCTCACCCTCAGACTGAAAAAGAGGATTTATGAAACTGTAATCCGACCCATTCTCACGTATGCTTCCCCAGCCTGGGCAAACTACAAAGCAAACGAAATTAGCAAACTCCAAGTGCTTCAAAATAAGGTGCTAAGAATCATCACAAAAGCTCCTTACTATGTTCGGAATAGGACTCTCCACTCCGACTTGAAAATAGATACTATTCAGGACTACCTCAGCAGAATAAACAACTTTTTTAATAATATTATCAATGTGAATCCCGCTAATTTCACGGACATTCTTATCTACGAAATCCTGGCTGAAGACAAAAACCTCCGCCCATTTGCCGCCCACCTCTTGAGTTCAGATTTAACTTGCAGATCGTGGTTTTTGTTGACCCCGTAGGCTGAAAAGTATCTGAAGGCTATCCTACACAAGTCCTCCGAAGTTCCTCTCTCCAGCCTCTGCTCGACGGAATCCATCTAAGTACCAGCACAGGAGGAAGGAGCTTCTTTTTTCTCTTTCTCACCACACATTTCCACATCCACGAGAGAAAATTCTATTCAGGTTTCTTCGCTGTCAGACCCTACACGGACTATATCAGGAACTGTTATATTGTTTTTCTGCTCTATAGAGTCTATCTTTCTATAGAGCAGGATATTGTTTTTCTGCTGACTGCCAGTATAGCCACAAAGTTCCAAAGATTTTCACTCTCTTACGTGTATTTCTCTGCGTGTATCTCTGGGTATTACTTTGAATAAATGTTTGTTTTTCGAACCACGGCATTTTCAATGTTCAACACAGACAAAGCATAAATCTTAATTAAGAGCTTATTAAAAGTGCGTCTTTAGATGTAATTAAAATTTAAGAAAATACTTGTCCATCGTTACTTGTGAGGCGCCATGAATACAAATACGTAATGCAAGTCCAGAAGTAACTTTAACATACCTAATCAACTCGGCTGCAGCTAACCGCGCCCCTAGTCATAAACGCTAAAATTCAAAAATCACTAAACAAAAGCAGACTGACACATGACCGGTTGATTCAAGAAATAAACTGCTTTTCTGATGGGTTGCCAAAATTCTCTAAATGATATATTTTCTCGTTATTAAAACTTAAACTAATTCGCATTCTGGTTAATTCTGACGAAAGAAGTAAAAGTTACAGAACAGAATTAACATCGAAAATAAATAGAACCTTACAATAAGAAATGAGAAAGCTAGTAAAAGTAGCCTAAGATTACGATGAATCATATTGCGATAAATACACCATAATGAGAAAGGATAAAAATAATAATTCAGGAATTTTAAAAAAAAATCTAATAAACACAGTTTTACTATTATAGTAGAACTACTTTTGTCTGATAGCGAAGCTAGGCATTTAATAAGGTGAAATTAATAAACATTTCTCAAGTCTTGGTTGAGCTAGGGCGGCGATTCATAAGCTGTTGGGCGATCCCCCTCTGGAGGCGTGATAACCCTACGTGGGGGGCGCGAGCATATGGAAATGTCGAAAATAAAAGATTATTTAAAAAATTATTAATTTACTGAAAAAAAAGCAAAACAAAATACATTATATAATAAAAAATAAAATGCACATTCACATTGATACAATGAACTTATAAATGTATCAGTATTGCACAATGTATTTGATAATTAATTTATCAATACTAAATTAAGAACAAGTTTACTAATTATTAGTGATTTTAGTCTTGTAGAGAAAATTATTCAAAGGAAGGTTTAATATTAGAAATTTGTACTCTCTAAGTTCTTCTGTGTTTAACTGAGATCTATATTTTTGTCTTCAGAGTAGCCACCGCAGAAAATCCGGTTTCACAAAGGTATGATGTTGGAAATGGAAATGGTAACGAAATGTTTTCGTTTTCAGTGCAGATAATTCATTATCAATCCCTGCCCAAAATTCAAAGAGTGACTTACTACTAAATAGCCTTTTGGGATTTCGCCACTTGACGTGAAATCTAAAGATTTCTTCTTCGGCAGTTGAGAGCCCTTCTGGACATTTTCAAATGGATTACTAACCGACTCGTAACTTGCTGTAAAGTTGTTGTCAGCAAGAAAATACTTTTTAAAATTCTTTGCCAGCATGGCTAAATGATTGTCATTGGTTTAAAAAAACTTTCATGTATTGTTGTTCAGCCTTGTAAATTTTGTCCACATTTTCAAACATTTCTAGAATTTTTTTTGCTTTAAAATTTCTGCTCCATAATTCCAATTTTCTACAGAAAGCATGAATTTTATCACTCATACATATGTATATTTGCTCCTTGGAGTTGAAGATTCAAGGTATTTGATTTCTCTAATATATCGATTAAGTAGCTCAATTTCATCACAAACAAACCATCTTGAAACTTCTCAGCTTCATGTCGTTTTCCTCTTCTAGAAAAGTGGCAATGTTTCTTCGTAATTCATAGGAAATGATTGTCCTAGCGTATAGCAGTATGAAAATCAATACTGGTATTTATCTAAATTCTCAGAAGTACTGGATCCTTTCGAAGAAAGCCCTTCTAGAAAGAAATTTTCCCCAAGAAGCTTTCTTCTCCTTTCTAAATATAAAGTAAAGACGTTTTACACAAAATAACTTTGGTAATTTAATTATATGAATTAATAGTCCTAACGTATATAAGTTATTGAGTTCTTTATTATCTTCATGTGTGAGTAAATACGAGCCTAGTTTCCCTTAAAAAGTTTTCCTCGAAGGCCCCTTTCTTCTTAAGCAGCTAACACTTTCAAATAATTCGGAAGAGTAATTTGAGGATTCGAAATGTTTACCAATACTTTCACAGACTTTTTTTTCAGCTCAAACCTTTTACGAATATATTTGGTGTTTAGAATTTATTTTCAAAAATAAAATTTTCAGAATTGTTTAATCTTTGAAATTTTTTTTTTTATCAATCAAAAATTAAATAAGATTGAGGCTGGTTACTCAACTACAACAAAACATATAAGGCCAATCTGCCTTGTTAGAATTGTTTTCGTTGGAGTACAATAATCTCAATAGCTATAACACTTTTAGTCCAAAAAAATTTGAACATATTGCTAATTTAAGACGCATTTAAATTTTTGGTTGACTTAATAATGTAAAATAATGACATAGTACATATTTAAAATAATTAAATTCTTTTATCAATCTGCATGATGTCTATGTAGATTTTCAATATTCGAAAATGCTTAACTTGTAATTTGTTGCCACCAAATAACAGAACCCTGTGTTATTGATTTGGAAGTCAAACAAACCCTTGTGTTATATTTAAAGAAATTAAATAATGAAGAATCTGCATAAATGTATGTATGTTTCTCGCATTGTGAAAAAACAACGGCTCCCAGAGCCATCCAATTTTGTATAGTTTAGTCCTCTTCCCGAATATGGGCACATGAAAGCACGAATTTTGATTTCCGAATTTGTTTTAATATAAATTTCATATTTCGTAAACCTTTAAAAATTTTTTGATTAAAACGTTCAACGACTTCAAAGCGAGCAGTGGCATAAAACATTTTTATCTTCAGCGCAGGAGACTGTCTATCGGAAATTCTAAAGGTATGCTCTTTTTAAATATTTTTAGCCCAAAGATGTGTCATCCCAAATGCTCTCGAAATGTGTATATGCGTGCAAATGAAAAAAACGCCCCTTTGGGGGTAATATAAAATCTGAAAGCTATCAGATTTTTCTGGTACGTCTTAAAATAATTTGTTTAAATTTTATTTTACATATCACATATCGAGTTTTAGTTAAAAAATCTTTACCAGTAACCTCAAGTAGCCATAGTTGAATATCGAAACCCATGTAGCAGTGTAAAATCATTCATATATCTGTTTCTAAAGGCTGAATACACCGCTTTTGGGAATTCTGCACATTTTAAAAAGCCCTGAACAGGACATCCTTCTTTGTGCACAGATACTCAACAGTGGCTCAGTCGATAAGATTGTTGAGCTCTTGCAGTTTGACTCCGGTTCAAATTCCGAAGAACGTATTGGTTTATAATGTATTTCTCCCGCTTTCGTGGTGTGGTGGTCTGCACCCTGGTCGCGTATACCAGAGGTCCGCGGTTCGATTCTCGGGGAAGGCATTGCATATTTTTCATCTCTCCTGCTTCAGAAATAAATATAATTTCTGTACAGTGGCGCCCGAACTAAAAGGGTGTTGGATGATGATTTTCCACACCCAGGATTTCGCGATTGGATCCACTAAAAACACGTCGCTCTTTAAAAGGGGGAGTATATAAGATATTTCTCCCCCCTTTTTAGCGTGCCTTCGTGGTGTGGTGGTCTGCATGCTGAGCGCGTATTCCAGAGGTCCGTGGTCCGATTCGCGGCGAAGGTGATTGCTCATTTTTCAAGTCTTCTGCTTCTAAAAAATTCTAATGTCTCTACAGGTTTATTCGTTATGTGGAGTTTTTATCATTTTCCTCATCTGTAATTTTATTACAAAACTGCCGGTTTCCCTTAGAAATGCCTTCATGAAGGCATCCCTGTTTTACACAGATCCATGTGTAAAACAGGACATGTAATTGCATGTCTCCATGTGTTTCTCTTCAAGTAATGAAGCAATCAACTAACCTTAGCGGTCGTCCGAATGCCTTACTAGAATTAGTTAAGCAGTACCATAATTGTAATGCAATACTTAAAAATATTTTGGTTTCCTTGATGATTAATATTGGGGAAAGAAGAATGCAAGGATCCCGGACTCCATTTTCTGGCATGCTTTCAGTAAAAGTTGAGTTGAGGTAAGAAAGATTTTATTCGTGTGTTCCCTTTTAGCAAGATAATTCAATCCATAAAATAAAAACATAGAGTAATTTTAAAATTTTACTTTAATTTTTTTAAAATTTAGAATCATTTGCATATGCGATAATTCTGAATTTCTTCTTCACTTTAAAACTTGAAAATATCTTCTTCCTACCTAAAGTTGTATATATCTGGACTTTATATTTAAATATTTTGGAAATAAAACTCTATAAATGATTTATCTGTAGCTTATTTTATTCAGAACTACTGGTACTTGTAGCTTGATTTCTGTTTGTAAATGGATTATGACAAAACACGCGAGGACTCTTTGTCCTTATAGAGTGATGTCTTCGAGAGGATTTTCTGAGAAAGTTTTCCATTATTAACATTACACGTTGGGAAACTGCTAAAATGTTGTACCTTTGTCCCTTTCGGCCAAGAATCAAGTCTGTGTCGAATTACCAGTGTTTTGCGGTTTTATTCACTTAATGTTCTCATCTTGAATGCAAATTCGTTCGTTCCTGAAAAGCTAAAATTTTCAAATAACATAAACCTCCTCAAGTTTTTGAGCTGGAAGTATATCAGAATTTCCTCATTGTTTGTTTGTGGTCTGATGAAAAATGAAATTTATTTAAATCTTTGTACGCTTTTTCGAAGCAAAACTCTTTTCTTGCTGACACTTTCCTTATCTTATCTGAATCTTTTACTTTGCTTTGAATTTTAATTTTTCCTTTCCTCGAAACAACTTCTTTTTATGCCACTAGGGACTAATTCCTTTTAGTCGACCTGAATCTCGATCTTTCTACGCATAAATGTACTTTGGAACTTTTTGTTTGTTATAGCTCTTTTTTAAATTTTGACTTTTCCGCTATATCTATACCTATATCTTTTTATTTATTTTCACATTTAACCTTTAAGTTTTTGGTCAAAGAAGAACTTTAAGAAAATTCTTTTATTTCTATCCTTTTTTTTAAAGTGTAAAAATCAAAAAAATGTTTTTAAAAGTACAAATTCATGTCTCAACTTTTGACGTTTCCTTCTTTAAATTAACGGTTCAACAGATTCGGTAAGCAAGCTTAAATTTGAATCTTGTATTTTCCTTTTGAGTAATTGTTAGTGTTTTGCTTATAAAATAAATATGTTTATAACAGGTATAGGAGCGAGTTCCCCTTAGAAAGCCCTCCCGTGCGGCATATAACCCTCCCCTTAGGCAGATAGTCCTCGCGTGCTTTGCTATAATTAAATAAACCAAACAGACAAATATTAATGGCTGAAGTTGCCAAATGCTGGCAGTTTATTCTAGATTCTATTTCCATCGACAGAATGCACGGGCTGAAAGAGGTTTCCGACTTTAGAACTTTACTTAGAAAATTTATTTTGAATTTAAAGTTTTCCTTAAAAGTCCTGCACAAAGTCATCTGTCTTCATTAGCCAATAATCAGATGTGCTTTACTATATTTAACTAGTTCAATTTCAACATTAATTAATATGGTCAACAGATGCTATAAACCCATAACTGGGCGTGTTTTTATAAATTAGATTACGCATGGATGTTTCATTGTAAATGTATCTATCAATAAGACAAGGCTGTTAAATCTTTAGGTCTCCAAATCTCTCTCGCATAGACAATGGCATTTTAGGAAGTGTACTGTGTCCTCCAGTAACACTTCGAAGGTGTTAGGAAAATGAGGCAATAGTGTATGAAATTTTATATTTGTCCTAGATATGCAAATATTTCTAAAATAGAATGGATGATTTTATATTTATTTTATCTATTTAACTGAATACGGAAAATCACAAAAGAGCTATCGAAGAAATTTTATGTGGGAAATAATATACATATGAAGATTCTATAAAATAAAATCTAAATTTTAGGTGATCCCCTAGAGTAAAAATTTCATTCAATAAAGTACACTTTGAATAATTCAGTACACTTTGAAAAATGTTAAAAAGCAGTTAATTTCATATAATTATGGGGAAAATTAGTTATAATATTCAAGATACGAGTTTATTGGCTTGGATTATATTTCCATATCTATTATGGACTTCAACCCAAGACTTTGTGTTACAAAGCAAGAATTGATAGTTCAGAGTTAATATATAATTGAACTTCAATGATGGGAAATTCTACAAATGGTTTTCAGCTACGAGAAATTTGGTAAATGAATGCTGATGCGTAGAATACAAAATGAGTATTATCATTTTTCGATACATCGAAATTTCTGATTAAATGATTTTTGACATTACAAACGTCTTTCGCGGACTCTTTCCAAACTCTTTGGAGCTTTACATTATTATACGTTACTTTTTA